AACATCCATCCAATGGAATCAATGAATGGCTTACTCATAATTCTTGAATCTTAAATAGCAAAGAGACAACAGAAAAGGATTTTTTTCCCCCTCTCCTCTGTCTCTTCTAAGAGCAACAGAGAATAAAATGAGATGTGTAGAAGTCAAGTTCAAAGCAAGAGTTCTTCAAGCAAGAGGAGGCTCAGTTGTGGAACTTGCTGCCAAAGGTGTTGACGGTGCAAAGGGCTTACAGAGGTTCAGGGGTGCAATGGACAAGTACCTGAAACAGAGACTCAGTCCAGGTTGCTGAACAGGTGTATTCTGAGCTGCAGAGTTGAAGACTGAAAGAGTACTAAGAGGAAATATTGCATAAGCTTGCCCTTCTCTTACTCCAAGCTAGTCAATGCTGGAGATAAGATGACTGACTGGCTTAGAAAACCCCTGACTCAATACGACTATTCTAAGCAAACACACATGCGCTGAAGATTTCAAAATGAAGGCAGAAAGAAACTGTTTATCTTCAGTTATAAACTGATTTTTGTAGCATTACTTTCACCTTCACTTCTCATATACGAAGTTCCAATAAATCAGCTTTTGTTCTGAATAGAAAAAGGTATAACTAGGGAATATGCTTGAATTTTGAATTTTTCAATTCAGTCTGTAACTCAGCAGGTGGAAAGAAGTCACTTTGCACTTCATGTGATACCCACCAGCATCCATTTCAGACAAGAGGGGCTGAATAGAAGTCACAGCATGAAAAGTAGACAAAAGTGAATGTGATGGGGAAGAAAACAATAGCTCCTACCTGGACTGTTTAGACTGAAATATCAGCATTCAGGAATATCCTATAGTTCCTTCCGCCCATTTCACTTTCACCAGAGATACACAAGTGTATGCATAACTGCAGTACGAAAAGTTCATTGTGAACAAATGACTTTGACGGGGACCATATAGGGGAACACTTCAGAAGAAAAACATTGTGAAGAGCAGCCAAAGGTGATGCTATTGTAAAGTCAGCACCAGAAGCACAGCCAATGAAAGCTGTTTTTATTTACTGGAGGAAAAGAAATCAGTTGATTCAGAAACAAGGATGCGTTCCTGTTTAAACACTCAGCAAGTCTATTCTTTACTAAAATATTTTGGGTTTTGGCTAATTAGGAAGACTTGTCATCCACAAAAGCAGAAATACCTTTTCTACATAAGCAGTTTGTTAGCCCAGTAATGCTCTTCCCAGCAGAAAAGGAAAGGCATGAATGAGGCTTGAATTCCTCAGTCTAGGACTCAGCACATTGTGTTTGACTCTGCATAAACATTTCTGTTCCCAAACCAACAACACTGGCATAAGAGACACACTAAGTACCAGTATGCTTGATAACTCTCTCAGAACTTGTTACCTATAGATTCGCCTGAGGAAAGAAAATAGTTGGGGACTGTTCTCTGGTCCTGAAGAGTGGAAAGAGCCAAAGGTGATTCAGCCTTGTCCATAGTGTTTACTGGGAACAGTATTCAGTACATGCAATCCCACAACCATGCCTGGGATCTCAGAGAGTGCCTATGATTAATGGACATTTTGGGTCCATTGTATGAGACTGCTTCCTTCACCAGTTTTATTTAGCAAATCAGATGTAGCATTGGTGTGCTTAGCATATGTCCTGGTATGGCTGTGGTATATTTTGTAGATTTGCTTTGATATTTGCTTGAGTTTCTCCTCACCAGACTACCAGAAACGAAAGCAAATTACACCTTTATCGGATCATTTGACTGATGTCACCAGATTGCCTGCTACTCTAAAATTCATGCCTAAAAGAAACTGACAATTTAAACTACAGATACGGCTGCATTTCTACATGCTCCTCTATCACCTGACTTCAAGATCATTTTTGATGATCTTTCTCAGGCTAGTGGAAGGTCTAAGATCCCTCTGCGAAGCAAAGGTGAAATATAAATTGAATACATCACGCCCAGAGTATAAAGCTCTTTGTCTTTGTTCTGTGGTCTTTCTAATTCTCAGCCTGACTTATAAAACTAAGATGTATAATGCCAGGGATCAGCCTAGAACTTTGGCCTGTCGTGCATTGTCTGTGAAATCCCTTTTTTCCTTTTTACTGTTTCTTAGTGCTGTGGCAGATGAATGAGTGGATGTATTATGTGCGTATATGTGTGTCTGTCATCCTCAGTGAGTGTGTCTGCTTCTGTCCTTGACTTACTTTTCTTCTTTCTTCATGTTTCTTTTTTCTTCCCTTTTACAATATCTCAGTTCTAGTCAGACCCTCTCTGTTCAACACTTCTTTTATTCCTAAAACACTCAGAATGCTGTTCAGAGAGTATCTGTACAGAAGGAATAGACAGAATACAAACAGAGTGCTTACCACTGTGTAAATGATGTGCTCCCTGAGATATTTTCATGCACTACACGCACTGTTGTCCTTCACTTAAATTATGAAATAAAAAGAAATATATCTACCTTTCTTTTGAATTCTTGAAATAAGTTTGAGCAATTATCACTGTATATTTGTCTTGTTAGGTTGAAATCGGTAATAAAAAGGCTAGAAGCAACAAAGACTTAGACTCAATAGGAAATATGAATGTGCCAGTTTCTTCAGGAACTGACAAAAGAAGCATGCTTTTATGGAAAATAGGTTACCAAGTAAAAGCCAGAAATTCTCCTAACTTACCAGTATGAACATTAAGATTCTTGAGACTATTTCAGGCACATTTAAAAACATTTTAAATTTAGATATTAATCATAGAATCATAGAATGGTTTGGGTTGGAAGGGACCTTAGAGATTATCAAGTCCCACCCCCCCTGCCATGGGCAGGGTCATCTTCCACTAGACCAGGTTGCTCAAAGCTCCATCCAACCTGGCCTTGAACACTGCCAGGGAGGGGGCAGCCACAACTTCTCTGCACAAGCTCTTCCAGTGCCTCAC